TGCAACAAGCCAGGATATGAAAATGCCTGGGACCTTCTCTGAGCTGTGTGGTGTCTCCCTTAGGCTGAACCCATCCTGGGTATAGCATCCTAGGGAACTTTCAGTGTCATTTTTTGTAAAGATGAGCCTTACAATATGTTTCTGGGAGAATATCCACAACTATAATAGAAAACACAGGCTCTGAAGTCTTGGGGTGTGCCATTGACTGGATGTGGCTTTTTTCTATGGTTGACGGAACACAATACATTGATTAACACATGTTCTTTATTAGTGTATCTGTACCAAAGGCATGGTTGTCTGCTTCTTCCTTCTTTTGTATAAAAATTCTAAACAATGGATTGGCTGTTGAAATAGTTTTATGATAATTATCATCATTATTTACAGGTAGTAAGTTGCCACGGATATCTATATAGTCTACTAAAATGTCAACGTTAGATGCCTTATGGACATGTTTCAGTAATCCATAAAACTCAGAATTTCCAAGTTTTGCTTTTTCTGGTGGAAACTGCCAAAATTCAGCTTCAGACCTGTGTTTCATCTCCAGGATGCATCCGGGTAGCTGCTGCCCACCCCATGCTGGTGGTGATCAGCAGTGCAGCCACAGTTAATGTTGAGCACCAGCCACCTTGCTGGAACATGGGGTGGGCACATGCAACGTGCCGCCCAGGTACCAGCAACTCACAAGATGCACCTCCAGAGGCAGCCTGCTTCGGTATCCACTGAACTCCATTGCTGCACTCCTCCCACCACAGATGGGTCAGCCTGGCAGAGCAAGGCAGTTCCCTCCTTCTGACCTTTGGCTCCAGTCGAGGCAAGGGGCTAGAGCAAAGACAAGGAGTACATCTACCCCCTTGCTTTCTTGAGTAGCTGCCTCCCCCACAACTGGGTACCTGACACAGGGGAGCAGTACCAACTGAGAGGCTTTAAGTGAAAATATTCTTAAACACCTTTTGGAAGAAAGGATTGTCTATAATCCCACCACCTTAACGTTTTTTTCATTTATTAAATATTACCTTCTAGGTCTTATCCACGAATGTATGTTTTTACACAGTGGCAGTCTAGTACACCCTATTTTGTATCTTTTTTCCTCTTTAAAAGAACCTTTATTCTATGTGTTTGAAAACTTGAATACTGAAAAGCTGGGGAAAGAAACTTGTGTGCAGATAACAGGTGAATTGTGTGTGTGTGTGTGTGTGTGTGTACCCTATTGCATATTTTCACAATATAGCTAGATAAGTAATCAACCTGCTTGGTATGACTGTCTTTACACAATTGACTAAACATATTTATGTCAATATATTTTAAACCCTTACATCTCCCCGTCTTGAAATCTTCCAAACTCCTCATAAACATGTACCCATTCCTCGCTTCGTCTTTTTCCTAACAATGTTGGCTTCTCTTGTGCTGCTCTTATTCTCACTACTGTTCCCTTCAGGATTCCTAACCATTTGGTCCCATTATACCAAAACTTTCTTTAACACTTTTATCTCTCTGTCTTCGTACCTTCTGCTAACCAGTACAAAGATTGAATATATTTTCACAAGAAAAGCCTTCAATTATCTTGGCATACTTTATTGAATTTAGATTTTTTTCACATCCAAAGCCTTTTTATCTCCTTTCTCCAATATTTATACCCCATGTTCTATGTTCATAGTTCTTGTGCTCCATACATACTTATATTCTATACTATCACCTCTCCAGTTCATTTCACTTAGATCTTTTTTTTTTTTTTAAACCATTTCCCTTCCCTTTCTTTTGGTGCCTTCTTCCAACTCCAAGGTTTCCATCTTTCGTCAGTCATCTTTCTCCCTTTCAGTCCTATCTCTCTGGTAATTCTGTTTTCTCTCCCCTCTTCAGCACCAAATGCCTGATAATGTATATGTCGCATTGAGTTGAGTGCTTTGAACAAATACTTTTCAAACCTTGAAATCAAAACTATTAGTATGGAAATAAGCCCTGAGAAGATGAAATCTCCACTTGAAAGTTTCAAATGGAGATTGTCGTCGTGCTGGGGTTGAATGATGGAGTTTTATCGAATATTATCTGAAATGGGGTGACTACTTGAACCACACAAAATGTCCACTATTGTGAAATGAAAATAGATCCTTGATCTTACACTTCTGTCTATTTTCATTGACCTTAGAAATAAAAAATACCATCTCAGGGAAGGCCATATTCAGGTTTTAGATTATATTGACCATTAATTCTCCAGGATAATTATAGGCTTGGAAACTTTTTTTTCCCCTCGTCTCACCTAGTCCATGCAGAAGTTAGTTCCTTCCAGTGATGAGATGAATTCATAACCTACAAGGCAACCCAATCTGTTTTGTACCACTATTGATTGTTGTAAAGTTCATCCTTGTATGGGGTTAAAATCTACTGACTAGAATTATATTCATTGACTTAAATTCTGCCGTGAAGCTACACAGAAACCTAATCCTTTTTCTGCATGATAGCCTTTTAAATATCTAAAGAGGATAATCTGTTCTCTCTCTGCCACCCTATAAATTTTTTTCCCTTTGAGATAAGCATCTTCAGCTCTTCCAGCTATTCTTTATGTGATATAATTTTCATATGTCATAATTTTCATCACCTCAATTGCCCTCTAAGGACATTATACTTCGTTAATGTTCCTTCTGAAGTGTGTTTGAAATGGGAAATGATATTTAATATGTAGGTGAATTGGATTTGGATATTAACACATCTGGATATTAATGCAGCCTGAAATTACCGTAAGTTTTTTTTAACAGCTATGTAGTGTTGGTTCATAATGAATTTGTAATTAACTAAAACCCTCAGGTTTTAATCCAGAAGTTTGCCTTCACAACTTCTTTCCAAACCAAGTCTCCATCTCTATTTAATTGTGCAACAAATTACTTTTTTAACCGGACTGTAAGATTTTTAATTTACACCTATTGAATTTTATCTTACGAGTTTTAGGCTATCATCAAGCCTTGCTTTTTTGAATCTTGATTTTGTCATTCTGATTCAACAAAGGACCTTGAAGCTAGTGTCAGAATGGTTTTAGACATCTTGGAAACTATATAATTAATTCAAAGTCTCGGAAACAGTCTTCCAAAAATTGTTGTATAAAGATAAAACTCAGCTCTTGAGGTATGTTGTTGTTGTTGTTGTTGTTATGTGCCGTCGAGTCGGCCCCGACTCATAGCGACCCCTCCTTGGGTTTCCGAGGCAGTATCACTACGGA